TTTTCTATTCTTTGTCTTCTTCTTTTTCTATTGTATTTGTATTTTTTTTTTCAAGCACCGGTGATGACTGACGATGCTTCTACTGCCTATATATGCATCTATTGTCCATTCAATTCGGATAACCTAGAGGCACTCGAAAATCATTTAACAAGTATAAAATAAATTTTAATGTCACCTTGATCTACTCTATACATATGTATATACCTTCAGATACGCACGGGCACGGGTGTCAAGATGTACTACAACCACCACCATCACAAGCACAATCGTCATCATCATCATCGAACATTATTAACAAGGCCGGTAAACGCGAGGCGCCTGATGATGAACAGGTAACTTTCGTACTTTAACCTCGTTCTACTTACATCGTTTCGATATCATCTATGTTTATCTAGTCTCAATCGTCATTGAATGGTATTAAACAAACAAAAGGTATTTGAAAAAAAAAGAAAGATTTTATTTTAAGATAATTTCTTCTCAATGTTCTCTAACTATATTTGACATTCTTAATATCATTGTAAATCTCTGTATAGGAAAAAAATGTTATTAGAAATTATTTCTTGATTCTCAAATTTGTTTATAAAAAGGAGTTTAATCTATATATTCTTTCTTATTAGAACATTCATTAGGTGTTAAACGAGTTAAACGTACATTATCTCCACAAACACCAGCGAATATATTTGTAAATGGTACTAATGATAATTCTGATCAAGAAGATGATGATGATGAATTTGATGATGATGAAGATGAAGATGATGAAAGAGATTCAACATCAAATCCAACAACAATGTCACCAAAAGCTATTTTAACATGTCCAACATGTGGTTCAACATATCATCGTCTTGGACATCTTTTACGACATGCAAAACGAAAACATCGTATTGATCTATCAAATTATGATGGACCACATACATTTGATATTCTTACATCACAAACAAATCAGATTGAAACATCTGATATTGAAATAAATAAAAATTTTAAAGAACAAATAAATCCAATAAAAACAGAAGATATGGATTTATCTGATAAATCATCTCAACAACAAAGTAAAATTATTTATTCAGGAAAAAATCCAATCTAACTTGTTTCGTTTAGATGAAACAATATCTGAAACAAATGCAACAACGGATTGTCCATATTGTGATTATAAAACAACGGATATTGAACTATTTAAATCACATATTATAGCTCATATACGTGATAAAAATTATCGATGTTTATTATGTAATCGTTTATATAAATATCGAGGTAAAATTCATATTTTGTTTTTCTCTTGCATATATTTATTGTTTAAAAATAAAAGGTGATTGCTCATTTCATATACGTCGTAAACATCATCGATATAGTACAAATTCAAATGATTATATTCAACGATTTTTATTTGATACAACTGATGGTGATGAAACTATGTCAACACAATCCGGTATACATGGATCATCATTAAATGGTACAATTAATAATCCAAATGCATCACGTGAACAAGATGAACCTGTACGTTATTTTGGTTGTCCTTATTGCGATTATACATCAAATTATGGTGGTGATGTTCGGTAAAAAGAAAATAAATTTAAAAAAAAACAAATGATTGATTCTTTAGTTTATTTCATATAGAAAACATCAAGCACGTAAACATCCTAATGTTGAATCAAAAGTAATAAAAATAATTCGACAAGATTCGGAACATCAAGCTTTTCCTCCATCAATAAATCCTAATCAACATGATGATAATGATGATGATCATGTTGATGAAGATGCTAATAATATAATATCGAAACCAAATATTAATCTGATTGAACAACAAGAACGTAAAGAAAAAATAAAAACTGTAAAAAAAACTGATGTGAATTTCATTCAACAACATCCATCAACATTACCTATGTTACCTAATTTTGCACCTGTAAGAGTTTTTCAATGTAGTTCATGTCATCAACAAGGTACATATAAATGGGTTGTTGAAAGACATATACGTGCTAAACATCCTGATCAACCTGATGCACATGTTATTGAATTACCAGCTGAATTAGCTGTTAAATTACAAAAAATAACACCACCATTAAAACGTTTTCGTTGTTCATTATGTCCATTACAATCGAAACATACATGGGTTATTATTCGTGTATGTAGTTTGAATTCAGATTATTCAAATTTACTAATTCTTGTTCTTTTTCTTTTAGCATATTAAACATTTTCATACGTTACAAACAGCATCTGTTCTTGATATACAACCAGATGGAACACCACCAAATGATGAATCATTTTCATTTCAAAATGGTAAAAATCAGTTTTGTTATTTTTAGTTTAAATAGACATATCGTAGATAAATAAATTTTTATATAGGAGATTTTTCCAATAAATCTTTTAATCATGATTCGGAATCATCATCAATCAGTAGTTCATGTAATGAAACTGGACTAGATGTTCAAAATGATTCATTTGCTCAACATGATCCTGAAGATGAAGATGATGAAAGTGATAATATTCGATCATCATCATCATTAAATCCTAATACAAATGGTACAATGGTATTTCTATATAAATGTTCTGTATGTGATTTTACATCTAATGTTCCATGGAATATTCAAAAACATATCAATGATTTACATTCTGATCAACCAAATGCACATATGTTAACACAATGTCGATCAACAATAACAGATCAAACTCAAAAATCAAATATAAAAAAATCGAAAAATAAAAATGGAAATAATCAAACATCAACAACAATAGCAACTGTAACTAAAATGTCATCAACAGCTCCATTATCTCCAACAAGTGCATTAGCTAAAGCAAAATTTTCTCCTGCAGTTGAAGAAGCTTTATTATCATTACAAGGTTCAAAATTAAATTCTGGTCTTTATGCTGTACAACCGAAATTTGGTATAAAACGTTTAAAATGTCGTCATTGTTTTTATCGTTCAAATTGGAAAACTGATATGATTCGACATGTACGAATAAGACATAATTTAACTGAGCCTGATCATAATAAAGGTAAACATAAATTAAAATCAATAAATAATAATTTCGAGTTTTTCTTCTTCTTAGATATGATTATGATGACTGAACAAGAAGCACGTTCAACTATTGAAACATATGAAAATACATTTGGAAAAGAATTACGTCGACGTACATTTCGAACATGGAACGATTGGGCTAAAGCCGAAGAAGAATTTACACCTAAAGATGGTTCACTACAATATGTAAATAAAAAATGAATTCTTTCTTTTTTTTTCTAAAGATAATTTTATTTAATATTTTCAGAGTAATGTCAATGGTAGTGGAATACCAATAATTGATATTAATAATAAACCAAAGAAACATCCACAAATATCATTATCAACTAATGATGATACAAAACGAATAAATAAAACTAAAACTAAACATGAATCGAAAATAATATCACAAAATTATAATCAAGGATTATCAAATACAAAAGATGATGTAAGAAGCAAAAATTATTTTTTTGGTAAATTAAAAATCTTTTTATTTAGCTCAAACAATTACCTAATCCATCAAATATTGTTTCACGTTTATTATTAACAACATCACCATCACATAGTAATGATGATGATGCACCATTAGATCTTTCACTTAAACCATCATCAAATCATCAATTATTATCACCAATAGAAATAATGCGTTATAATGAAAGTAATAATATTCAAATAAAAGATGATCTTGATGATCTCGATGATGAAGATAATTCCGATGGAAATTCAACTGTTAATTATCTATGTTCTGTATGTCCATATAAACGTTCGAATTATAATTTAGTACAACGTCATTTATTATTTCATTTAACTGGTCAAGGTGTTGTTTGTCCTCTTTGTTCTTATACAACATTATCTCATAATTCAATGATTCGTCATATGACAATCGTGCATCCAACTAGTCAAACAATAATTAAATTTGCACCAGTAAATCAAACAACAAATGCAAATATAATTGAACAACATCAATGTCCAATATGTTCATATCAATGTGAACGTTCTGAAGCCTTAGAAGTTCATCGTCGTCTTGAACATGATGATGAAGAATTTGATATTGATTCATCATCAGGTATTGGTGGTGGTGATGAAATTGATGAAGATGAAATGGATAATGATGATATAAATTTACCGGTCGATACAAATAATAATATTTTTCAATGTCCATTATGTACACCTTCGTCAAATACAACTAATTATTCAAATTTAGAACAGTTTACCATGCATGTATTTACCGATCATAATAATCATATGCAAAACAATCAATCATGTCCATTTTGTTCATTTATTGCTCATATAACATCTACATATACTTTAGTAGAACATATAAAACTTCATTTTAATGGAACACTTGTACAACCCGATCCAATTGTTGGTTTGGAAAATGTGAAAGAGTTATTAATTGAATAATAAAAAGCACACATGACACACATTCACATGTATTTCGAGTTTTTATATTGTTATTATTATTTTTCCTTCTTTCTTTTCTCTCTCTCTTTCTCTTTCTTTTTTTTTATCTTTTACGGTGGTAGTTTTTCTTTTTGCTTTAACTTCTTGTATTTGTGGTAGTGAAAAAATTAATATTAAGAAACAGTATTCAACTGTGTTATCATTCCAAAATGTTTGTTTTTTTTTATCTTGGAAAGTCAATTGTGAGTTTTTTTCATTTATAAAGAAATATATATATATATATATATTGAACTGGTACTTTTTTTTTATTTCAAACAAATGTCTTGATGCAAGAAAAAGAAAGACTCTTTAACAACTGTAATAACAAACAAAAAAACAAAAGAAAACTTAATTAAAATGTTTATTTACTAAGAACTTGTTTCTTCTTCTTCTTTTTTCGTTTTTTAATTTGTTTAAGAAGCAAATTTTGCTGTTCTTTTTTAGTTGAATTACTTAATGTATCTAAATTATCCATATGATCAATTATTCGATCGATAGCAGAAACAAGTGGTTTGGATGGATTTTTTGAAATATTTTTTTTACGTTTTTGATGTTTACTTATAATAGGACGAGATATTGATAGAAATGATTTAGAACGTGAAGGTAATTGAGCATATTTAGAATCTTCTGTGTTATAATCTTCAGTAAATGTTTCTGTTGGTTCTGAAGGCACATTATATGAAGTTGATGAACGATCAATAAAATATGTTGAATTAGAATCTTGATTGGGATTATCATCTTCATCACTACTATCGAGAACAATATATTCTGGTGGAGATTTCGATTGATTAGATGAGTCATTCGAAATAACAATTGGTGAAGATGGAGGCATCAGTTTTTTTCGTTTGGTAGTTGTTGATGTTTCGATAATATCGTCTATAAAGAAACAAGAATAAATTAAATAATCGCTTCGTTATCCTAAGACGTATGAAAAATACTCTTTTAAACATAAATCCTCGCATAAGAGCTATTTTGAAAGACTCTCTACTTCATATCTTTGTTATTTATACTAATTGGATTATATTTACCATTCTTTAATTTAGTAGTTTTAGTTTCATTAATTTTAGTTACATCATAAACACTATAACCATTATCAGTATTATTTTGAATAAAAGTAGATTTTATTTTTTTCGCTGTGGTTCTCTTCATATCTTTTTTATAACGTCGTTGAAAATCAGCATAATATTTTGGATTAATATAATCTCTTGATATTTCCATTTTACATTTAAGCCATTCTGTATGTGGATCACTTGTTCGTTCATATAATTCACGTATTAAAATAGCTCGAACATTTTCAATAGTTTTTCGAGGATGAACATGTCCAATAATTGTTTCATGTGCAATTGTTGGTAATTGCCTTCTGAAAAAATTTCAACAGAAATGCTTTTTTGTTTGTTTTTTGTTCAAAATCATACTTTGCTGGTGACTCTTCTTCATCTTCATCAGAACTTGTGAGAATAAGAGCTGGTCCTCGTAATGGTGATGATGGTAGTCTATTAAAAAAACAATAATAATAAATCGAAATTCTAATTTTTATTACAAACTTTTCTAATGTTGAAAAATCATTATTTGAAAGTGAAATAAAATCACCTAATGGTTCATTTGTAGAATTATTAGTTCTATTTGGATGAATCCTTTATAATATAAAAAAGTAAGATAGATAATTGTATTTCAAAATAAATTGTTACTCGTCTGTATCAGATGTATTATTATTTGACTCAGCATATTTTGATGGAAATAAACGTTTAAATATAAGATCTCGTTTTATTTGATAATTTTTCGAAGTTTCTTCATTATCTTCATTAAAATAAATATGGCCAGCAGAAGATTTTGGAGTATCCTTTTGTTCAAAATAACGTGTATAGACCGCCGGAGTAAATTCCGGTTTTCGGCCAAGATAATTCGACATTTATTCAAACAAATTTATTTTATAAAAAACTAATATTCACACAAGTAATTTCACTCTTCTTCTATTGGATAATACAATCAACAAATTAAAATTTAGTTCAACGAAATTCTTTTCTTATATAATTAATAAATTATTTTTCTAGAAAATAAAATTCAAGAAATTTTCAAGATAAAATTTTTTTTATGAAAAAAAATCGAAATATTTATACATTGAAGGTGGCGTTCGTATAATTTTGTTTATTATTATCATATCATTTTAGACCCATCTGTTGTTCTGTTGATACGATTTCTTATTAAATATTAATAATCTTATATCTACTGCTTTCTTATTGATTATACAATTAAAATGCCTATTAATGAATCAACATCATCAGGAAAAAATAAATTAGGATTAACATTACCGGAAGTACCAAAAGATCCAAGTGATCAAAATCATAATGAAAATGGGTATGAAAAGATATTTGATTGATTAATTGATTGATCGATTTTTTTTGATTATAGTATTCCGGATGTATGTATTGAACGTTTACAAGAAGAATTTAATCAACTTGATTGTACGGATAAACAAAAAGATCGTATGGAAGAATTTTTTAAAGCAAAACGTGCTGTAGGAGAATTAAGACAAGATGATCTTGTTAATATATGTGAATTAGGTCAAGGAAATGGTGGAGTTGTTTGGAAAGTTCGTCATAAACCAACAGATAAAATAATGGCTAGAAAAGTATGATATTTTATTGATAAAGAATTTTATTTTCGACTCTTGATTTTTTTTCTAGTTGATTTATTTGGAAGTTAAACCAGCTTTAAAAACTCAAATTATTCGTGAATTAAAAGTAAAAAATTTATTTTATTTTTCGAAATAATGATTTCTCATATGTACTTTCTTTTTTAGGTACTTCATCAATGTAATTCACCATATATTGTTGGTTTTTATGGTGCATTTGCTGTCGAAGCTCAAATTAGTATTTGTATGGAATATATGGTAAGTCGAAAAAAAGAGTCCTATGTCATGTAAAGATCAAATTTCTATTTATTTTGACGTTAACGCTCGTTTTTTTTCTATAATTAAACTACTATAGAATATCTCACACTATGATAGAATCAACATGAATTCAGTCTGATCTATTTACATCAGCACCAATGGTTTAAAATTCCGTATCTAATTTAGTAAAGATAATAAAATAGATATAATTAAAAGCATTTAATATTAAATTGTTTTTTTCTAACGATGACGATTCTAAAGTTTATCGATATTTTAAATTTTGATTACAAATAAAAACGAGAATCATAATAATAATTATATAAAACATTTTCAGTCATACATAGCAATTAATTACGTGTGAAATAACTGGTTTCAACAATTTAAAATTCTGATTTTATGCTTGATAAACTTTTCTAATTTCTTATTTGATTTTTATCTGAGCTAAATATATCAATTATTGGGTACTATGTCATACTTTAAATTTTTATAATAGAAAAACGAGAATTTTTTCTTTTCATCTAATTTTAAATTGATAATTTTAGGATGGTGGTTCATTAGATTTAATTTTAAAAAAGGTCATGCGTATTCCAGAACATATTCTTGGTAAAATAACAGTTGCTGTAAGTTAATTAATTATATTCTAAACAGTAAAAATTAATCATCTTTTATTAGGTTCTTCGAGGTTTAAGTTATTTACGTGAACGACATCGTATAATGCATCGAGGTATGATTTTTATTTTAGTTCGAATTCTCATTAATCTATTTGTACCCAAAAAATTTAGATATCAAACCATCAAATATTCTCGTAAATCATCAAGGTAATTATATTAGAAAGATTTTCTCATTTAATATATGATTAATATAAAATAGGTGAAATCAAATTATGTGATTTTGGTGTTAGTGCACAATTAATTGATTCAACATTACATACATTTATTGGTACTCGATCGTATATGTCGGTAATAAATCTCTTCTATTTAAACTTCGATTGTTTTTTAAATTCTTTTCATTTTTTAAAGCCGGAAAGACTTGAAGGTGCACATTATGGAGTAATGAGTGATATATGGTCATTAGGTCTTTCACTTGTTGAAATGGCTGTTGGTCGATATCCAATTCCTCCACCATCTACACAAGATATTGATGATTTATTTAAAGAAGATCCACATGGAAATCGACCACGACCAGAAGGTTATGGATGTCATAAAGGCTTAGCAATATTTGAATTAATGGAATGGATTGTTAATGAAACACCACCAAGTTTACCACGATCACATTTTTCAACAGAATT